GGGCATCGTGGGCAAGAACAATGAGGAAGCTGAGCGCTGAAATGCCTCTGCCGGCTCCGGTGACGTGGAGGTCGTAGTGACCCCAGAAAACTGTTCCAGTGGCTGAAAAGAAAGCTGCTCGAGAGTGGGCATAGGGTGGCAGGGGGTGCGCGGAGACCTTTGAAACAGTTTTAGAGCCGTGAGTTGAGGTAGACAGGGCTGGGAGGTGGTTAGTGCAGAGGCTTGGCTGTGTTTGGGAGCCAGTGCTGGGGACAGGGAGCCGCGACTACCAGAGTGAAGGGCCCGGGGGGCGGGGGCTCCCGAGGAGACAGGCAGTGCAGGGACTGGCCTCAGCCGGGAGGATGCGACAGACAGGGAGCAGGAGGCCAGACCACCAGTGAGAGGGAGGCCACGGGGACCCCAGGAGGGCCGAGGACAAGGGGGAGATCCTAAAGTACGATGGGAGGAGCCTAGTGGGGTTGTGGATGATAACCAGGAGCCACCTTGAAGCCAGGAGTGTGGGTCTGCTATGGGCCCTGGGTGACTTCGTAGAATGAGGGGCTTCGGAGCAGACACTGGGAGAACTGAGCGCCACATCTGTCCGGCACTGGGCTCCTCACAGGGGCGGCAGAGGAGGAGGAGGAGGGGTTCTGGCCCGTGGCGAGGCTGATGTTGAGGAGTCCCAGGGTCCCAGCAGTACAAGACTGGACCTTTCATCCTGAAGGGTGTGGGGAAGTCCCCCTGGGGAGTCCGGGAGGGGTTTTCAGATAGGTGACTTCGGGGGCGCTGTCCAAGGGTCGCTGGGGATGAGAGGAATGGGAAAGGTCTTGGAAAGGCGTTTGAGAGACTGGAGGTGCTGAATGGCGTGTCCCCAGATGTGGAGGCTGACCACGAGGGCAAAGGAGCCAAGTTCATCTTCAAGAGGGAGCAAGATGTGGTAGCACATGCCGGTGACCCCAGACGCCAGGGGCTCCCGGGGAAAGATCACACACTTAAGCCCAGCTGGGCAATTTAGTGACTTAGCAGCCCCTGACTCAAAAATTTTTTAAAGGCTGGGGATGTAGCTCAGTGCAAAAGCCCTGGGTAGACCGCACTCACAGCCAGAAGCCCTGAGCCTGAGCCTGAGCCTGAGCCGGGCGGGCAGTGGCCAGCCACCCTCTCTGTCTGAGAAGCTGAGAAGAGGCCCAGGAGTTGCCTCCTGGAACTTCCCTATTGGCTCACTTCGGAGAGATTCAAGAAGCCTGCTGGATCTGGCTTGCAGCTTGGCCAGGTAAAAATATCCCCAAAGCCATTTTATCCCTCGCTGCACATGAATTCAAAATCTTTGTAAAAGACTAGGTCACCGTCACTTACACAGTTCTGCTCATCAGAGGAACAAGACACACAGGGCTGCTCATGATTTATACTCGTTGCGGCCTCAGAAGAGTGTTTCTAAGGTAGTGCGACCAGATGGGGAAGCCAGTCCTCCCGCTTCCTTCTCATCAGCATTTGGTAATTAGCTGCATATTGCTGCGGTACAATCAGGAGTTCTGGAAAGTTTGACTTGGTTTTCTGGAAAAAAAAAAATCATAACTTTAAGGGCTGGGGGTATGGCTCAGTGGTGAAGTGTGAGCCTCGCTGGGTTCAATCCCCAGCACTGACAATAATAATAGCTTTAGAATTGATATTATTTATGTATTTATTTACTTTTGGTACCAGAAATCCAACTCAGGACCTTGCGCTTTCTAGGCAGGCATTTGTGCCACTGAGCTATATCCCCGGCCCTAGAATTGATATCATTTAAAAGACATTGAGTCTTACTTTTTAAAAAGATATCTTTAAGTTAAGGGATTGATGTGTATGCCTGTAATTCCAGCACTCTGAGAGGTTAAGGCAGGAGGATCACAAGTTAGAACCCAGCCTGGGCAATTTAGTGACAGTGAGACACTGTTTCAAAGTTTTAAAAGGGGGTTGGTGGTATGGCTCAGGGCAAAGGCTCTGAGTTCAATCCCGAGTACCACCAGGAAAAAAAAAAAAAAAGCATCTTTAAATCTGCCTCAATAAGGCCTGGATTATGGTACTAACTACACTGGTTTGTCTTTTTGAAACAGGGTCTTGCTGTGCAGTTCAGGCTGGCCTTTGAGCTCACTTTGTAGCCCAGGCTGGTCTTGAACTCGCAACAATCTTCCTGGCTCAGCCTCCTGAGTGCTGGGATTACAGGCGAATGCCACCACGCCCGGCAGTTAGCCACCATTTATCACATCTAATTATCTGTTAGTTTATGTGATGTCTTCATATCCCCACTACAACTTCTCAGCAGAGGGAGTATCTTATATTTAGTTGAAGAAATAGCTGCAGAGAAAGAGAGTGACTTGCGCTAAGTCACACAGCAGGGCTGTAATGTGAACCTGAGTTTGAGTAATTCCAAAGCTGTGCTGCTTTTTTTTTCCTTTTTAATTAATAGGAGTTTTGAAGGAGGCCCAATGGGGTGGGCTGATATTATCTCCCAGGTGAACATACTTGGGCAAGACATTCTGCAGCTATACTTTCAGTGTCACTGTCATAGTCTCCTCCTTCATCCTCTGATGGGGACTCGTCCCTAGGACCACGTACCAGTGCAGTTGAGAATGTCAAGCTGGACCCCAAGCCACCAGCACTGCCACTGCTGGCCTGAGTCAGAGTGTAAGGGGAAGGATGGAAGTGGTAGCAGAGTGTGGGATGAGGAGCAGGAGTGGGAGACCATGGCACTGGCCCTGCATAGGCCTGCAGAGTTTCTCCCAAGCTTGGCAAACCAGGCAAAATTGGGTTATCTAGTCAGGTGACTTCTGTGTATGTGAGAAGAGCTCAAGACCCGGCAGGGAGGGTGACCTGCCCAAAGTCACTCAGCAGTCAGGGTAGCCGGGCGTGATGGTGCACGCCTGTAATCCCAGCACTGGGGAGGCTGAGGCAGGAGGATCATCTCGAGTTTGAGACCATCTTGAGCTACAAAGTGAGCTCAAGGCCAGCCTAAACTGCATAGGGAGACCCTACCTCAAAAAGACAAAAAACAAAACAAAACAAAAAAAACTCAGCAGTCAGGGGCAGACTCTACCAGGACCTGTACCTCTTCACTTCCAAATCAGTGCCATTGGGAAAGGTAGTTCATTGGTGCCCAGGTGAAACAGGTGGCAGAGAAAGGCCTAATCTGTTACCTGCTGTGTGACCTTGGGCAAGTCACTCCCCTCTCTGAGCGTCATGTTCTCTTTTCTCCAAAGCGAGAGAACGATCCCAGCTCTGTCTTTCTGCCAAGGAATATCCAGTGAGAGATGAACCTGGAGAGCTCGTTACCATCTGCAGTCCTGGGAGAGGAGCCACCAACAAGAGGCAGGCTGACAGGAGGTGGGCGGGTGCCAGGGCTGGGTCTGGCACCGCCAGGCCTCCTCCATTCTCTTGTCCAAACCTGCAGCTTCGCTGGTCGCTGCCCAAGCTTCACCATCTGTGTGGTGGCATCAGCTCCACCTCCTGCCTCCCTGCCTGCCAAGAAAACACTCTGGGATCGCCTTGCTTGTTCAGAGTCCCCACCCCAACCCCCAGACCTTCTTCTCTTCCCTCTATTTGAGTCAGGATTGTTGGTTGCAAAGGACAGAAATCAAATGTATAAGGAGGGAGACTGCATTAGACACACTAGATCCTGAGACCCACAGCCATGTCACCGGCACACTCCCCTGGCTTATTCCCTCTTCCTCCGACAGCCCTTCAGAGGATGACAGAGGTGGCCACAAACAGCTCCAAGCTGACACCACTTCCGTTCAGGTATCCTGGCAGACAGAGAGCAGCTGTATCCCAGTTGTTCCCACAGATGTCCAGAATGACACTCGGGTGGGGGCAGGGGCAGGATGAGTGGCTGTGCCTAAATCCATTACTGGTCTTGGCTGGTCCTGGGTTACCTGCCCACCCCAGAACCTAGAAATGAGGCCAACCCCACACAAGCCCCATAGATAGTGGTGGAAGGTGGTTCTGAAAAAGAGATGAATTCTGCTACCTGAAGGAATCTTGGATAGCCAAACACAGTAGCTATCCTTGTTTCTGAGTTTATTGGCTACAAAACTGAACCAGGGGCTGCTGGGAAGGGAGTGTTGATTGTGTCCTGTATGTATCAGTTAGCTTTTGCTGCATAACAAATCACTCCAAGGCATTGTGGTTTAAGACAGCCATTTTATTTTATGTAGCTTAAGACTCTGTGGATCGGTGGGGCATTTGTTCCGGGATGGGCTGTGTTTGGTCAGCTGGCAGGTGGCCTAGTGCCTGAATGGGCTGGAGGATGGTCTTACACGTTTGGCAGTTGGCCAACTGTTGGAGGGGTGCCTCTGTTCTCCCCCATGTGTTTCTTTCCCTCTAGCGGTTCAGCCTGGGCTCCTTCACCAGGTGCTCTCTGTCACATGTGAACCAAGTGAGCAAGCTCCTTCCCAGCCTCCCCTTGCAACATTTGCTAAAATTCCATTGGACAAAACAGGTCACATGACCCAGCACCTTACCAAAGTGCCAAAGACAATGGGAATAGGAAGAGGAAGAATGTGGGGCCAATTTTGCAATCTGCTTTAAGTCCCTCAGAGAAAAAAGTATGTATGTGTGTAGGGGGCTGTCTCTATGGCCCAGGGATCCCTTGGGCTAGGACAACCCCCAATTAAGAATCCTCAGAAGAGTGACTCAGTCACAAGAATGTCCCCGGGTCCTGCAAACCTGTGGTTTAGCCTCTCTCAACTTCTGGGACAGTCAGTCTGCGTCCTAGACCCACCAGCCTCCCCACATGTAGAAAGGGCAGAGCTCCTGTGGCTAGTGGGCCAAAATGATGCTCAGGCTTAGGGACCCCTGCCCCACCCCCACAGACTTGCCCTTGAAGAAACCCTCAACTCCCAGCATCCTTTTGGTGTGGGGAGCTGGATGACTCTGAGACTTGTGCCCATCAGCAGGGTAACTGGTGTTACCTGCTCCACAAGGTCAAGGAGGAGCCCCTGTCCTCTCGCACGCAGGATGACAGTGGCCTCGGCCTGTCTCTTCCACAGGTGGCTGCGCTGCAGCGGCAGATCTTTGACTTCCTGGGCTACCAGTGGGCTCCTATCCTGGCCAACTTCCTGCATATCATGGCGGTCATCCTGGGCATCTTTGGCACCGTGCAGTATCGCTCTCGGTACCTCATCCTGGTACGGCTCACCCAGCCCCTGCCCAAGCCGAGCCCCTCTTCTCACCCTTGCCCACCCTGTCCTCCCTGCTCCGCTAGCCAGAACTGTCCCCCAACCCTGGACACCCAGACTGGTGTGTCTTGGCTCCAGCCCAGCTAGGGGATGAATGTCCAAATCCCAATGCTGCTTTGCTTGGAGGAGGCCATTTTTCTTCAAGGATTTCCCAGGAAAATAATCCAAACATAAGCAAGATAGGTCACTTAGCAAGCACCTTCCCTGTGCCAGGCACACTGCTCAGGTTCACACGCTTTATCTCATCTTTACAGCAGTCCTGTGAGCTCTGTCCTGCCATCTCCACTTCCCAGATGAGGAAGCTGAGACTCAGAAAGGTTACCAGGCTTCCTTAAGCCACACAGCTAGTAAAGGCGGGGCCAGGATTAGAGCTTGAGGTCTTCGGTGAAGCCTCCTGCCCTGCCCCTGAGCTGCCTCAGCAAATCAGAGGGCACAGACCAAGGAGGGGTGGGCCTCATCTTGTCCAGTTTCTCAGGGCGCTAAGAAACTTCAGGAGGCTTGGCGTTTGTCCCTGCTTAGTGACATGCATCAAAGACTTGGTCCAGAGCAGGTACTGTGGCTTTGAGGTTAGTGGCTCCTACACTCAAGCTCCAAAGGTCTGATCTTGTCCCCAGGATGCTCTCCCACTTGCTTTTTCCAAGCTCTGTTTCCAGCTAGACTCACCTGTGGTCCCTGCTGATCTTCAGGGACCTCTGCGCAGGGCTTCTAGGGGCTTTTCTCTAGATCTAACGAGTACGTGCCTCACAGTTACCACAACGATGGCCAGCAGTGCCGCGCTAGTAAGACCCGCCCAGAGCCATTCAAGGACTTCACCTCCCAGGAGCCAGGTGCAGGGTCCTGTGGAGCGCTGCATCCTCTGACATAGAACACTTCCTGCCAGCTCTCAGGAGAGCCCTGGGTGCTGCTGTCGACTGTGCCGTTCGCCAGGTGGCAGCCACTCAAGTGCAGGCACAGGCCTTGTGTGGAACATCCAGCTCCCAGGCCTTCTCTGCCCTCCCTCTCAGGCTGTGGCTACGGCTGGGATGCCGTTCTCCCGTGAAGTGGCCACATCTGGGAGGGGAAAAACTCCAGGGCTGGGAGGTCCCCATGCTGCCCTAACCATGCAGCTGCAGCCTCTCTCTGGCCAGGTCCCAGGATTGCTGGGGCTGCTCACACTGACCTGGGCCACTCGGGAGCAGTTTACAGAACAAGGGGGAAGATAGTGACAAAAGGAGTGGATTGGGGGTGTATGGCTCCCTTTCCATCTTGGGGATGCAGCTTGTTCTGCTCACCCCAGCCTTTCTGCAGGCCCCATCCACCGCCCTGCTCCCACCTTCCTTCCCCCTCATACCAGCCCCAGGTCTGTGTGGGAGGATAGCCCCTGTGTTCTCAGGCACCAGCTTCAGGATGACTTCCTGTTTGTTTTTGGCCGAAAGTTCTCAGCATCTTTAACTACTGCTGACCCTCCCCTCTCACAGAGGATTGCAGCCACTTACGAGAATTAAGGCTTCCTGGGGCTGAGGGTGTAATTCAGTAGTAGAGCACTTGCCTAGCAGGCTCAAGGCCAGGGGTTCCACCTCCAACACTGGGAAAAAAAAGTCTTCCTCCTGGGAAATAAGATGGACCCTCATTCTCCCCACAACACACACTATTACACGCCAGTCCTCAGCCACAGGCCTCTGACCAGCCACTTCTGCTTACCAGCTAGGGCCTAACAAGAATACTTTACACACCGCTTCCTGAGGCCTGAGGTCAATTGAGTCACCACCGCTGCATATTTGCTCTGTGCTGGACACTCATGTTGTGTGGTAAATGAGGCAGATGAGGCCCTTGCCCTCTAGTGGTTTTTTTGTTTTGTTTTGTTTTTTGGGGTTTTTTTTGGTACCAGGAATCAAACTCATGACCTCAGGCTTGCCAGGCAAGCAGTTATGCTACTGAGCTATATCCCCGGCCTGCCCTGTAGTGGTTTGCCATCTGGAATATGTTCTAAAGAGTGTCATCCAAGTCACAAGTCAGGGTTGCTTAAACAGCTCCTGAACAACCTCTGTAGCAACTCAGAATCAGTAAACCTGGAAAGTAGGACTTAGGAATGCATATATTTTTCTCTCTTTCTTCCTTGCTGTGTTGCCCAGCCGGACTCTGAACTCCTGGGCTCCAGCGATCCTCCTGCCTCAGCCTCCCAAGTAGCTAGGACCACAGGTGAGCACCACTGCCCCCAGGTGGAATCTGCATTTTTATCAAGCTCCCTGAGTGATTCTAGTCCATTCTAGATTTATTTATTTTTATTTATTTTTTGGTACCAGGAATCGAACTTAGGGCCTCGTGCTTGCCAGGCAGGTGCTGTGTCACTGAGCTTACCCTCTAGTACATTCTAGAGACCTCTAGCCTAAAGGAAGTTTTTAGCGGAGTGGATAGGACGTGGGTGGGCATGCCAGCCCTCCTGCTTCCTAGCTGTGTGATTTTGGAAAGCTGAGACCTCTCAGTCTTAGCTCATTGCTCTCTAGGAGGCTGCAGCCTGCCCTGCAGGGCTGTGGTAGAGACTGGACGGATGTGAAGATGACTTGGAAATGACAGTGTGCCCTGGAGTGTTAGCATGCTTTCCCCTGCAAAGGTCTCCCTTGCAAAGGTCTCCTCTGCCCTTGACCTGTGACTCCATTGACTCGCCGCCTCCCCACTCCCCAGGCCCCACCCTGAACCCACCTCTGCTTTCCCCAGTATGCAGCCTGGCTGGTGCTCTGGGTTGGCTGGAATGCATTTATCATCTGCTTCTACCTGGAGGTTGGACAGCTGTCCCAGGTAAGCCTCAGGCCTGGCAGCACCCTAAGGCAGAGCCTGACCTTTCCCTTCTCTACCCCAGGGCTCTTAGCGTGGTGTAGGCCTGGGGCATCATGTCTAGAGACCTCCCCACCTCTGCACACTCCAGTAATCTGTGCAGACCCCTCCCCCGACTGTTTCTGCCTCCCCTGCACCTCTCAGAAACTATGATGGAACAGGTAGGGCTAAAGAGCAGTCCGGGTAAAGATGGGCCGGAGATCCCAGTTGAACAGAAGCGCAGTAAAAACCAACAGCATGTGTTGGCCTACTCTTAGGCCCCACGAATAGCAGTAGAGCAAAGGAAGTGAAATTGCCATGCACTTTGTACGGCTTAGAACCAAACATATGGGTCAGTGCTGAGTGATTATTTTAAGAAGGGAAAGGACTAGTTATTTTTTGTTCAGAGGACACTGAACAGACACTATCACATGGAGAACTTTTGAAGAAAGTTTGTTTAACTTGAAGAGCAGTCCAGAAAGACACTACTTCTATTTTTAGATAAAGGGAGCAAAATATGTCAATAAGAGGTTTGGCTTTCTGGTTTAACCTTACAGCATTCAGAACTTAGTTCTAATATTTCCCAGCAGCATGGCCCTGGGCAGTGGGTTGTCTTCTCTGAGCGTTCCTTCCTCTTCTTGTAAGGGGAGACAGCAGTCACCCCAAATTCATGTGGTTGCTGAGGGGGTGTAGCGAGAGCTCACATCAAAGTGGCCGGCACAGAGTGAGCCTCAGTCTGGCTGAAGGCTGATGAGCTCAGGCTGCACACCTGGGCAAGAACTTCTGCTGTAGCCCAGCCCTGTCTCCATGTACCAAGTGGAGAGATCAACGTCCAAAGAGAGGAGAGGTGTGCCCATCAACACAGGGAAAGCAGGGGAGAGACCGAGTGGGTTGTGGAGGAGCCTATACTGAGCATTTCACCAGCGGCTGGGAGTTGGACCTTGTCTCTGTTAATGTCCCTTCTAGCCCTGAAATTCTGAATCTCCTATAGGGTGAGCACCAACCCCTTTCCAACTTAGCGATGAAGTGTGAGGCCTGCATGAGCATCAATTGCCACCTGCTGGCCAAACATGGACTTGCAAGTGGAAGCCTCATTCCTTTCCTAAATCAACCCAGAGGAGGCTGCTTGAGTAGACTCAAGTGTGCTGTGTAACTCCCCTGACCCCTGCTCAGTATCCCAGGCCCCTCTGCCCCCAGGACCGGGATTTCATCATGACCTTCAATACATCGCTGCACCGCTCCTGGTGGATGGAGAACGGACCGGGCTGCCTCGTGACTCCCGTTCTGAACTCCCGCCTGGCCCTGGAGGACCACCATGTCATCTCTGTCACCGGCTGCCTGTTGGATTATCCCTACATCGAAGCCCTCAGCAGTGCTCTGCAGATCTTTCTGGCAGTGAGTCTCCCACCCCCGACAAACTCAGAGGGGTGGGCTCCATCCCAACCCCCTTTCTTTATCCATAATTAAGAGGAGACACACCTAGGTCTCCTAGCCTGCCTGTGCTTCTGCCTGGACCAGCTTCCAAACCTTGTGCCACCTTCCTTCACCCTTGCCCTAGCTGTGTGCCAAGAGTGGGCAGGTTTAATGAATATGATGAGGTAGGTATCAGATCATGAGTCCACCCACTGTGTGACTGTCATTTACCTTTTCTAAACTTGTGTCCTTATTCACAGAAGGAACCCAGTAGAGTTATAGGAATAGGGGAGGTGCTCTAAGATGGTAGGAACCCCATTTCCAGGCCAGCCCTGTTCTAGGCACTTTACACACACACACACACACACACACACACACTCCTCCTAACAAGCCAGTAAGGCATTGCCCAAGTCTCTGGGAAAACGAGCTCGAAGGAGCAATTACTTGTCGGAAGTCACACTCCAAGAATGAACAGGACCAAGTATGTTTGACTTTTAAGCGTAAGCGTTTAACCTGAAGTTAAAGGGTTTGTTTGCCTCAGACAAGGCCGGACACATCCCTCCCAAATTGGGGTGAGTGGGCGGGGACCAAGAAGAGGCTGTGCTCTCTCCCCTGACTTATCGTTGCCTCCCCAGCTGTTTGGCTTTGTGTTCGCCTGCTACGTGAGCAAAGTGTTCCTGGAGGAGGAGGACAGCTGTGAGTGAGGCGCCCTCAGGGTCGCGGGAGCCTGCCCCTGCGCCACGCAGCGCTTTTCAGCACCCTGGACAGGGCTAGGGCGGCTTGGCTGGAGGAAGCTGTGGGTCAGCTTGGGGCCCCTTTCGTGAAGAGATGACAGCGGTGGGCAGGGTCTGCAGAACCAGCCCATTGTGGGCTAGGGTCTAGACGTCCAGGTGCCTAGCCTACGATCCCACCGTCGCCTTTTTCCAGTCTGGCCACAACTCCATCGGAGTTCTTGTCCCGCCCCCAGGGCCTCTCTTTCCTGTAGGGGCCCCCACGCCTCCGCACAGGCTTTATAGTCTGGGGAATGGAGCCCCTGCTGGCCCGGCTCCGGCCTCCCGGCCCTCACAGGCCCATCCCTGCGGGTCCAGGAGCACGGTCCCACTCCGAGCGCCCCATTCCATCCCCACCTCTCCTGCTGAGCTTCCGGGGGTTCGGGGTCCTGCTGTCGACTCTTCCCTTTCGGGACCCAGTCTCTTAATTCACCCCCATTTCCGCAGTTGATTTCATCGGTGGCTTTGACTCCTACGGATACCAGGCGCCGCAGAAGACGTCGCATTTACAGCTGCAACCACTGTACACGTGGGTCCAGGGGCAGGGCTGGGTGCACGTGGAGGGGCCGGAAGTTGAGTGAAGCGGGGAGGGGAGAGGGGGAGGGGCGCCAGATCTGTCTGTCAGTGGGCCTACCCCCTCACCCACCTCTGTTTCCTGCAGGTCTGGGTAGCTTCCGTCCAGCGCCCACTCCGGCGTCCCGCCCTTGGCGGCTGGACTGACAGCGGCCTCGGGGAGCTCCGGCCAAGATGGGCGCGCGCCCCCTGGCGTCTTGTGGACCGACTGCAGCCTGCGCGGTCTCACCCGCTGGGCAGCCAAAGGAGCAGATTGGACTTGGCCTTACACAACCCTGACTTCAGGGGCGGGCCGGGGCGGGGCGGGCCGGGGGAGGGGCATCGCGGGGTTTGTAATTTTTTTATCTCAGCCTTGGCATATGCCAGGGCCTTCCTCCCCCCTCCAGTCCACCCCTTTCACCCTTCATCCAGCATCTTGCCCTTGTCCAGAGAGAAACAGCAGGGCAGACAGACTCACCCCATCTCTTCACTCATTCACCAGCCTCAGTGAAACCTACTGTGAACTAGGAGCAGGAGTCCTGGGTTCCGATCGCAGCTCTGTCACTGACACCCGGTGTGATAGGTGGCAAAGCCCTTGCCCTCTCTGGGCCTCCGTTTCCCCACTCCAAGTAATTAAAATAATCCTTTAGCAGATGGACTCTTCTAGGCTTCTCCTTTGACTCTCAATCCCCTGAGCTAGGCTGTGATTATAATCCCCATTTTCAGCCGTGGCAACTAAGGCCCAGAGATATAAAGTGATTTGCTTGAAGCCACACAGCTAAACTTGAGGAGGCAGCCCTTGAACAGTGTACTTTCTGTAGCTTCAGATTCCAAAGCCCAGTGCCTGCCTCTGGGTTCCACTTGCAAGCCGCCTTCTAGCGCGGACACTCCGCCACACACACACCTCTGCTGCCACCATCACATGCCAGCACCTCTCTTAAAGCAATATACTCATTTGTTCTCGTGTTGGGAGCCATATGGACAGAGCCCAAAGCCCCAAATTCAGTCTACCACCTAGCGGAGCCTTCTGAGACTTAGCCTCCGACAACCCTTGGCAGACCTTCAAAGCCCCCTCCTCCAGGGAAAAGGGGCTACAGTCACCCTACGCCCTGCCATGTCCCTGAGACCTGCTGCACCCACAATCCTGTCCCTTGTGCCCCCAGCAATGCTGCCGCCTCCTGATGGCTCCATCCACATCACCACTGTGACTCTGGAGGGGAAAGACTGGTCAGTGCCACCTGGACACCAGTGTCTGCAGACCCCTGGCATTGTGACCACTCCAATCAACTGGCCCCAATAGGGCCAGGTATGGTGGAGCACGCCTGTAATCCCAGCACTTGGGAGGCTTATCAGTGTAAGTTAAAGGCCAGCCCGGGCTTCATAGTGAGACCCTGTCTCAAAAAACAAACGAAAAGCCCAGAAGGAATTCTGATGGGGTGGAGTGGGGGTCTGGGTAATAGGGGTATGTCAGAAGGGCCAGCAGCCCACCCTTCCTGAGGGCAAAAAGAGGTGAGAGCACTTCTTCCCCACCTCCCTCCAAGGTACCCCTGGGGATCCTGTAACCTAGCACTGGCTGATTAGTCCACAGAGGAGAGGATCAGGGCTCAGCATCCCGGTCTGTACATGGGAGCGGCCCTGGGTTATGAAGGATGACAGGAGCACAGGGAGGGTGGAGGGAAACTCAGACACGAGACGGTTTGCACACCTGAGCCTGCCTGTGGTGACCGTGGCCTTTCTTACTCCCACCTTCTGATCTTGGGCTAGAATGGCACCCCACCACGCCACTCCATCTGCAGGACAGTGCCAAGCAGCCAGCCCCAGAGTAACTCTGGCCACCGCAGGCTGCAAGGTCCCAAATGGTCAACCCAACTAGAGCTGAGTACAGCTCAACAGGGGGTCCGCTCTCACCAGGCTGGCTTACAGCCCTGTCTCCGGGCCAGCTGCTGCCTGCAGCCCGCACTCCTCCCATCCCCATTCTCCAGGCCTCTTCCTGCTCATCGGGTGTAGCCCCGGTGCCCTGGAGCCTTTTGTTTTTATAAGCGGATTTGTACCAGGGGACCAGGTGCTCTTCTCCCTGGGGCCGGGCTAGCCCGGGAGTGCTCCCCTGACTTCTGTGCAGGTGAGTTGATTAAAGATGGTGTTTTCTTCTCCGTCTTCCTGTCCTTCCCTCTCCTAAGAGAAAAGTGCCCCGCCCCAGAGGGTGGGCAGGACTGGGAGGTCATATTATCATTATTGTATTTTCCTGGGTATCAGCTATGTGGCTCTTGGCAGGCCACTCTCCTTATCTGGAAAAAAAAAACAAAACACAAAGGTCCACTAAGTCAGTGGGTTCCCAAACCTGGCCTTACAAGCCCTTGGAGAGACTTCTGTTCCTTTTTCCGTCCAAGTGCATGTTGCGCTGATGCTCCCAAATCTTTACATCTTGGCTGTGTCCCCTCCTGACAGGTCGGTTCCTGGCTTGGCTCAAGCTGTTAGACTCTGCGCTTGACCCCAAGTTCCTACACCTGCCCTTGACATCCTGGAACCTTTCCTGACAACACAGCCCAAGGATCAGAATTTTTAATTTTTAAATTGTATTAATGAACAGTAGACTCCAAACAGTTGGGGGAGTATATACTCCTGTAGTATTCATATCTTTCCCAAGATGTTCACTTCTTTTAAGAATTATACAAATCATGGTTTCCAATTTTCATACAAATGGCAACATATTTTACTTACTGTTCAACCCACTGCTTCCTCCACTGGACTCAGCCCTGGGAATCTTCCCCCGATCACCCATGTGGAGCTGCGCCTGTGACTTGACCCTCCAGTGCTCACAGAAGCATGCCCAGGTCTGCTGTGCAGGCCCTGTTGGCCACGCCAGGCTGACAGTGCAGAGGGAAATAAGTCAGACCCTGCTTTCAAGGAGCTCCTGGCTGAATGTCAGTGCTCTGGTTGGGCCCAGATAATCCAGGCTAACCTTGCCATCTCGAAGCCTTTACTTTAATCACCAGTGTGCAAGATCCTTTCTGTTATGTGACACATTCACAAGTTCTACGAATTGCAGCGTGGACCTACATTATTCTCCCTTGCGTGGGGAAAGAGTTGTGTCAAAGCAGGGTGCACCAGCCTGATGTTAGAGCAATGGGGAGCTATTGAATGATTCTGCGCATGCAGTCCTCAATTGGAGATCTACTTTACAGAGAACCAGAAGGGCTGAAGGGTGGCTTGGGGAAGATGGGGAGCAGTGTTTTGTCTGTGGGAGGCCTAGAGTTTCTTCTAACTGCAGCCTGTGTTTGGGGGTTGTGTGTGGTGAGCTCCAAGCATCTGAACATGGGACAGCGAGCACAGCAACAGCCAGCCAGATCCCAGGGTGGGCACTCTGGATCCGGGCAAGCTGCTCTGCCCCGGAAGTGAAGTGCTGCCCCACCATCCTGCCGCGCTGAGTCATCTCCCAGCAGCTCCTGTACATGAAAATCATCCAGGTAGCCAGGGTGGTGGTTCATGTCTATGATCCCACGCCCTCAGGAGAGCAGGAGGATCACTGTGAGTTGAGGCCAGCATGGGCTACAGAGTGAGTTCAAGGACAGCCTGAACTACATAGTGAGACCCCATCTTTTTTTTTTTTTTTGAGACCCTATCTTGATTAATAAATGAAACAAAGTATAGCCAGGCACAGTGACACACATTCATAATCCCAGCTACTCAGGAGGAGTAGCTCACTAAATTCCAACTTGGAGAATTTAGTGACTTAGTGAGACCCTGTCTCAAAAATTTAAAGAAAAACTGGGTGGCCAGGCGTGGTGGCACACACGGGTAATCCCAGCACTCAGGAGGCTGAGTCAGGAGGACTGTTGCAAGTTCAAGACCAGCCTGGGCTACAAAGTGAGCTCAAGGCCAGCCTGAACTGCATAGTGAGACCCTGTCTCAAAAAGACAAAACAAAGAAAGAAAGAAAATCTGGGTGTGGTGGTGCACACCTGCAATCCCAGCACTTGGGAGGCTGAGGTAGAAGGATTGCCGTGAGTACAAGGCCAGCCTAGGCTACATAGTGAGACCCAAATAAACCAGGAAATAAAATAAATAAAAACAGCTAGAGATGTAGCTTAAGGTGAAGGCATTGATCCAGTCTTCAGTACTACAAAAAAAAAGGTTGGGGGAGACTGGGGATATATCCCAGAGTGAAGGCTCTGGGTTCAATCCTTGGTACCACACATGCACAAACAAACACACCAACCCCAAAACAATGGCAGCTAAAAAACAGAGTATGCATCGATCCAAGGTTGACTGTGATTTAGTGCTATACTGTGATTTCTTCAGTGCACTGGACTTTCCGGGTTCTGGTTTCCAGGCACATTAGGCCTTGAGGACAAGGCCTTACTCCCTGAAAGATTCATTGCTTCAAAGGGCCAGGGGAGTCTCTGGATCTTGTAGAACATAAGAATCTCTAAGTTGGGGCTGGGGATTTAGTTCAGTGGCACAGCGCCTGCCTGGCAAGCACAAGGTCGTGAGTTCGATTCCTGATACTGGGGAAAAAAAAACAAACAAACAAACAAAAAGTATCTCTAAGTATCCAGATTCCTGAGCTTCAGTCACCCAGAGCTGTGCTGAATCCTGCAGGCAGTGATGGGAATCTGAATTTCTCAGCAGTGCCCCTGGGGATCCAGGTCTGGGGAGTTTTAGGCCCAGCAAAGGTATTCAGACAGTTTTGAAACCACCTGCTGCATCCTCGTGGAAGCCCTGCCAAATTATGCCTGGAGCTCTGTCATAGCTAGAGATGGACGGGGATGGGGATTTAGCTCAATGGTGAGTGTGCTTGGTAGTGTGAGGTCCTAAGTTTGATTCCCAGTTTTAAAAAAAAAAAATCTAGAGATGGACTTTGAGAATATTTACCCAAAACAATTTTACATACATGAAATATGATCAAACTATACAGTGAATACATTTTAAAAACGTATCACAATAAAAGACACATTGCCATTAATCTTGTTCAAAAGGCAACCCCCTTGCACTGAATACACTTATCCCATCATTCTCAGCACTTTTTGAAGGAGTTCTGGAAGCCCTCTTGTGAATTTGTTTGTGATTAAAAAATATAGTGAATAGGCTGGGCATAGTGGCGCATGCCAGTAATCCCAGCACTCAGAAGGCTGAGGCAGGAAGATCACTGTGAGTTCAAGCCCAGCCTAGGTGACATAAGTTTAAAGCCAACCTGAAGTACACAGTGAGACCCTGCCTCAAAAAAAGAAAAAAAAAAAAAAAAGATGTGGCCAGGTTCCCTCCAACAGAAAGGCAGGCTCGTAGAAACACTGCGGTGTGTCCTCGTGCACCTTATTCACCAGTTCTGACATCTTGCAACTTCTGGCTCTTCCCCGAAGTCAAAATGACCAGGAAAGGCAAATGTTTTAAATGGATTCAGGACTTTGAGGAAGCCAAGACAGTGCA